AAAAAAAAAAAAAAAAAAAAAAAAAAAAAAAAACGAATTAAAATTAACTAAAAACAGCAACCTTAATGACTACATCGGAAGAACCAGTGATTGCCATTACCTCCAATTGATCTACAGCTTTACGTTTCCTGCAAAATACAAATTTTACCAGAATAAAACGCTTTCTAACACAATCCCTTCCAGCAGAAAAGCTACTTAGAAGATTAACAAATATAATAAAAATGAAGTCGGTAAAAAGAATGAGCTTTCTGAGAAAAAATAAAAACGTTTTGCAACCCTCGCTGAAGTCATCCTACAGATAATTCCTAAAATTGCTTTTGCTGACATCTTCATTCCAAAAGAAGGTATGCACAAAATTTTTTTCTTTCCTCCAAATTATACTATAAATCTTTGACGACTATTCCAAAATTTAAATTTTATCATTTTCACGACCAAGAAATTGAACTTTTCCTTACCTAATTATCACTCCCATGAAACAACTTTTAATTTTCTTCTCAACAACCTAAAAAGTATTAAAATCCTTTTCCAGTACTGTTCTACTAAAACACTGTAACTGAAGATTCGCATCGTTCACTGAACCAAAAAAAACTTATAAAACAACCTGTAGTAAAATACCTTCGCAATTCCGAGTTAAATAAGTCCTCCCCACCTTGAGATAAAGTTCTAACATGATCCATAACTTCTCCAATACCTTTCAATAAACTTTGACAAACTCCCGCTCCACTATACGGGCCATATAAAAACCAATCCGGAACCTGCTCTAAAAAAACTTATAACTTAAAAACCGTTGTTCTTCAACTGAATAAAAAGTTATGTAAGGTGAAGAGATAAAAAAACCAACTCAGTGACAGGTTGTTTTCAAAATTGATGAGACGCTGTCGAACGATATTCCACTGATGACGAACCCTTCTCCTTGCAGCTTTCGATAATATATCGCTACTGCCTTAATAAGATAAAACTAATAGCACTTTTAAAGAAAAAACTTGTTTTAAAACAAATACAGACCTATCCGATTGAACTGAACTGGTGTAACAAGGTAAGCACCATACAAACGTATTACTACTTCGCGACAGGCAGCCCATTTCGAAAGCCGTAGTGTTTTCCCAAAACCGCATCCATAAAATTCTGTCGGCGGCAAACCAAGAATTGTAATTATTGAATGATGCAAAATCTTTTCTTCTGATTTGAGAACCTCGCGATCCTCATCCGATATAGCTACTGCTTAAAATAATGTAGTTTATAATTTCCATAAACGAAAAAAACTAAAAACGAATGACTTCCTCGCTTACTTCGTTAATGTGCCATTTTTTTACTGGAAAAAAAATGATGAAATCTCTCGCCCAAAAACCTAGTAACTTCTACAAGGCTACTCAACAGAAACCGTCATTTGAGTTCACTTACACTTATAAAAAAACTCTTAAACCAAAATTTCTAATTAGGCAAACTTACTTGATGTAACCAAATTCATTCTCTTTTTCGACCTTAGTAACCACTCATTGAGAAATATAGCAAACGAAACGTGACTGTAGAAGGAACCTTCCAAAACGGAGCCATCTTCTTTCCGAACCTTATACACAACGGCTGCGCAGGGATGGGGAATGACTGTTCTTCTTAAACGCACGATAAGCGAAAAAAATGAGATAAAGAAATGAGATTCTACTTTTTTTGTCAAATGAAACAAAAATAAGCAAAATGAGGGCACCTATGCAGAAAGGGGATTCTACAACAACACGCCATTGCGTGGTTGTGTAGCAATCTATCGAGGGAAAAAACATTTCACCCTTCCATCGTAATCAAACCTTCCTCAGTTCCTATGAAGAACCAGATGGTTGTCAAGGCTTAAAACACAGCGCTGGAGATCATTTAACGTCTGAAACTGAGAGAAGCAGAAGCTTAGTGCTAATAGCTACCAGTAATAACTAAGAACAAAAAGCAATATCATTCATGCTCACTACATTTCGATTTCACTATTTTATAAAACTGTATGCACACGCGACCAAGCTTATGACTTAAACTGCTCAGAATAAAGCAGATTCTGATCTCAGGCAGCGTGACGGCTTTTACACTCTGCAGACACCCTAACGTCAATCTAGCCCCCCAAGTTCATATTATTTCCTCTTTTTCATCATTTTAATTCACATCCGTTTTCTTTAAAAAAGCTGAGATTCCAAGAACAAAGTGAAATGGAGAAGAAAAAAAAAATAAATCACATTATCTAAAAACAAATACTGCCACCTTGTGGGGGGAAACACTTACTATAATCAAGCTACTTTAAGCTTCTCTGAAAAAATTTTTTGAACATGCCAGAAACGTCGTGAGGCGTTAGCACGATAAATCTGACACGGAAATGCCTACTTACTAAAAACACTTTTCAGTTCTTTAACACAAAGAAAAAAAACACGCACACACACGAAAAAAACTGAGAAATCTCTAAAATACTTCTCCTTCTGCCATTTTAAGAGCCATTTGACAAACCATAACAACTCAATTTAAAAAATCCAGCACTGGAAATAAAAACTAAAAAATAAATGTCTATAACTCACCTCTTACAGTTAATTTATATTACCTATGACCGACACAAGTTTCTAAATTGTAGATTAAAAACAATTATCACTTTTGAATCAATTCTTCCTATTCATCACTCAGTGGTACTTAATTAACTTTCTGTTAAATAAAACTTGAGGCCGTTAGTAATCAGTACCGTGATTCCCACCTCCAAGCATTTTGAACAACAAAATAAACAACCACTAAAATGTTTCTAAAGCCCCACTGAAAATAAAATTAACCGAGCAATATATACTGAAAAGTCCACTAAAACCCGTGGCATCGCAGCTAAACTGACATAAATCTTAGAAGAGAGTCAAAAATGCTCCTCTGTAGTCTACAGAACCTGACTATAATCAAGTAAATCCCTAATACACCAAAAAACTAATCCCAGTGTACTGAGAACTCTTTTCTACGTAATTTCTTGGAAAATGATGGAAAAAGTTATATACATTGTTAAGAAGCTTTTTGAAGACAAATAGTTGCAATATGAAATGACAAAAATTCTAGCTGAAAAAACTTTGGTTCACTAAACGCCCTCACGAAATTCCATCTAATTTCTAGAATTAGTGACCGTGCTTCTA